ACCACTCTCTGAATCTCAACCTCCCAAGCCCAAGCCATCTTCTAGCCTCAGCCTTCCAAGTGACTGGGACCCCAGGTGTGTGCCACCATGCCCAACTCATTTCTTTATTTTTTTGTAGAGATGAGGTTTCACTATGTTCTCCAGGCTGGTCTCAAATTCCTGGGCTCAAGTGATCCTCCTGCCTCAGCCTCCCAAAGTGCTGGGATTATGGGTGTGAGCCACCGTGCCCGGCCACATTTGATCCTTTTAACAGCTCTATGGGCAGATACAATGATCACCTCCACTCTATAGGTGGAATAACTGGGCTCCAGTCAGACCACATGGGCCATGACTGGCAGAGGCTAGGTCTCTTTGGGGATCAAGCCTTCAGATAATAAAAATAGCCGTACGGACAGTAACACAAACCCACCTCACTTATCCAAATTCTGAAATCCAAAAACTCTGAATCCCAGAACTTTCTCATAACTCACTTGGCATCAAAACCTGACCTGGAATTTTGGCAGCAGAAAAAGTTTCACCGGAACAAATCTTCATTTGTGTTCTTTAGGGTGAACATCCGTCTGTTTCGTGGATTCGAATACAGGACACTAGCCCAGCTGCACTGGAGGGCAATAATAGATGAAATTCTCACCCAATTCCCTTTCTAAAATCCACAGAAAAGGCCCAGTCTTTTGGCAGAAGGGTGGTCTTTGGCCCTTCTGCAAAGATCCTGCTGTCATTTGGAGGGAGGTCAGGAGTCCTCATTTCTAGTTCCCGTCCTGCCACTCCCCCTGGTTTCTCTCTGTGGCCGAATGGGAGTGGCTTCTGGGTGAGGCTTCCGGGCAGGTGAGTAAGAAGCTCTCTGCATGAAGTTCCCTGCAGGAAGGGAAGCTGTCGGCCACCCTGTTTCTGGGACTGATAGCCCTTGAGGAAGGGTTGGTCTTTTTACCCTGTGAGAAGGAGATTTGGGTCCCGGAGACCTGGGTCCTCGTGGTGGCCTGCTTCACCACCAAACTCCGTTCTCTAGGTGGAATAATTGGGGCTCAGCTTGGCCTCATTCTTCTCTTTGCAAAGCATGAGGACTGGGAGCGGAGATCAGCAGGCCCCTTGGCTGGGGCTGCCTGGGACGTGCTAAGCCGGACACAAGGGATTTTCTCAGACCCAGCCCCCCAAACCCCCCAGGCCCCCAGGTCCTAGGACGAGCTCTGCGCATCCCGCGCTCTCACTGATGGGTGGGCAGACCCGGCGTCCTCACTTTCCATGACTATTCCTGCTTTTCGGGGTGGAGAGCAGGGGCCTTCCCGGAGCCTGGATTCCCACGGGTGGGGGCCTGGGGGAGGCCGTGGTGGGTGCTGAGCAGGCCCAGGGAGGCCGCGCACCCCCGGCCCCCGCGCCGCCCGCCGTCCAGGCGGCCCGGAGCCGGCTGCGGGCAGCGAGGGCCGCGGGGCCCCGCGCTCAGTGTCTGCCCCACTCACACCCCAGGCTAGGGAGGGATTTCCATGGGGCTTACGGTGATTTATAATGGGAAACCTCCGCTTTCCTCACACATTGTTCTCCCTGACAGAGGAAAGAAAGACGGCACTAAATCTCCTCTCATCATAGTAATGATGAAGCCCGCGGCGTCCCGGCCCCATCCCAATGCCCTCGACGACAACAAAGTGCTCTATTGTGATCTATTACATTTTTCTCAAAAAACCTTCAGCCGCGCACAAGGCCAGCGCCATATCCTGCACTGGCCCTCCCTCATTGTCCTCGCCGAGGGAAACGGAATGTGTCAGTCTGAGTAATGCGCCTTCAATGCTTCTCAGGAACCGCTGGCTCGGCCGGGATAAAGCCTCCCCCACGCTTTCTCAGGCCCCGGCCCGGGATGAAAGCTGCCCGCGCCGCCGGGCAGCCACCGCGCCACCTGGTCCACGGGCCGGGGCCAGTTCTGCCGGCAGGGCTGGTGGCCGGCCCCTTCCCTGCTCCCACCCCCCATGGTGGGCCCAGGGGGTGAGAACGGGGCCAGGGGGGACTAGGAGAGGGGAAGCGGGGGGTTACAGGGGCAACAGGGAGCCGGCCTTCAGGAGCTGGAGGGGAAACTGAGGGACTCAAGAGCTGGGAGGAAGCGGGTATCGGGGCATGAGCCTGGCCACAGTCCTGGGGCGACCCTGCCTTGCTCTGCCCTACCCTACCCAGTCCCAGCCCCTGCCCTGCAGGTGACCAAGAGGCAGCAACTTCCACCAGAGTCTGAATTACAAAGCCCTAAACACACCCTTCCCATGGCTTCCACGTGCATGGTTATCAAAATCAAACCCAGCTACCTACATGGGGTGATTCATTCATTCACTCACATGCATTCATTCCCACTCTGACGGGTGCTTCAATGAGTGGGGAATGGGCAGGTGCAGGTGGGGGGTGGAGATGAAGGTGGCTCTGCCTGCAGCTTGGGTCCCACCTGACGCCATGATCCTCAGCAGGACCTGCTGCATCCGCTGCAAGACCCGGTGCCAAGTGAGAATGCAGACCCCTGCGTTTCCCAAAACTGCTGCAGGCTGTTCAGCGGGGACAGCACAGCATTGAACCAAACGCTGACACCAGCTGAGGCTGGCCTTGTGTGACCGCGCGATCGCCAGCCGGCTGGTGACACCGGCCCTGCTCTTCGTAACTCTTCATTCGCTCAGCGTGCTGGGACTCGGCCCATGCAAGGGTGCTGACTCCAGGGCCGAGGGGAGTCATCAGCCTGTGACTGAGTCTGGCCTCCCTCTCGCTGGCCAGGTGAGGCTGAGCCTACACACAGTTGACAACTCTGGAAAATCGGGTTCAACCAGACAAACTCAAAGCCCCCCACATCCTAGCTCCACACCCTAGCTCCGCACACAATGCAGTGTCCACCCCATGACTGTTGTGGACCCCTGCTCTGCAATCACTCACCAGTGATTGAGGGTTTGCAGCGGTAAGATCCTTGAATTTCACCTCATCCAACTGCTTTATTGATTAGATGGGGAAACTGAGTCCTAGAGTCCATCTCCAGCCCCCGCCTGGCCGCCTGCCTGCCCTCATGAGCCTCCCCTCCCAGGAGCTGCAGGCTGTGAGAGGCAGGCCCCAGTCTCCCCTCCAGCTGATTCTCAGCAGCTGGACCAGAGCAGAGCTGACCCAGGAGCAAGCCTGGGCCACAGAGTTGCACGTGGTCCCCAGACCTCTGCGGTCATCATTCACTGTGCCCAGAGGAAGAACAAGGCCAGTCTTCCAGATAGCTGGGCCCTGGAAGGACCCAAGAAGAGGAGCCTGTCTCCAAGGGCCTGCCATACTCCAGCGTCCTTTTCCTGGGGAACCCAAGACTCCACGTCAGGGCCTCTTGGCCAGTATGGAGCCTCTGCCTCGGCACCAGGACACAACATTCTCACAGGCCTTCATGCCTGCCCCCATAGGCCTGGGTATAGACAAACCAGCAAGATGGGCTCTGAGGCTGTGTGCCAGCTGGAGATGCAAGGTGAGAGGGCAGAGGCACTGTGGCAGGTAGGCGCTCACCCCAAGCTGGTACCTTCTCGTGGAAGAATTGAGGGAGAAGACTGAGAACAAACACCCTACCCAGCCATGACTTTTGCAAAGAGACTCTGCAGCATCTCCCATGGAGAAGTGGGTTATGTCTCCCCACCCTGAACCTGGACTTGTTGTATGACTCACTTTGACCAACAGAATATGGTGGAAGTGGCAGAGTGCTGATTCTAGCCCAGGCCTCCAGGGACCTTGCATGGTGCCCTGTGGTCTCTCATACCTCCACATAGCCCTGGCAGCCTGCAAGAGAATGACAAATTTGTGGAGGCAAGCCAAGCTGGTCCAGATGTTCCAGTCAAAGCTCAGAGATGAGAGAGAACCCAGGCAATAACAGTGAAGCTGCCTACCTGACTTGCCACTGATGCTGGACCCACCAGTGAGCCCAGCCCAAAGCAGAAAACCGCCAAGCTGAGCCCAGCCTCGCCTGCCAAGCTAAAGATTCAGGCATTGTTTTAAGCCCTTTTTTTGGGGGATGGTTTGTAATGCAGAAATTAATTGCATCTACAGTGCCAGGCAGCTAAAAAGGCCACTGTTCACACAGTTGCTGTCTTTCTTTCTTTTCTCCAGTATCAATTCTTTCCCTACCCTAGAAGCTCAGCTCAAGTACCCACTGCCCTGGAGTCTGTCCTGACCATGTCAGCCTGTAGTGCAGAGGCATCGAAGTGTAGCAGAAAGAGCTCTGCAAAAGGGAGTGGAAAGCCCCACTTCACAGCATCATTCACTCATTCCCTGAGATTTGTGCAGAGGAGACCCAGAAAGCAGGGCAGGGAGCTGGCCTTCACATAGCTGGCAGTCCAATGGCAGACAGGCTAGGAGACAGACGAGGACCACATGGCCTCTTCCCTGCTCTAACCAGGTGAGTCCATGGGAATGCAAAAGCTGCCCCAGGAAAACATGGTACCCAGACCTGAGCCCACGTCCATGGCTACCTCACTGGCCCACCTCTGACAATTCCCTCTATCCTGTGGACTCTGGCCCCACTAGATTGGAAGGGCCAGGAAGGCAGACAAGGAGGCACTTACTCTACATCTCACAGTGCAGACAGGACCCAGGCTAGCGTGCCACCCTCAGAGGTACTTGGAAAACCTTTGCTCAGTTGGACTGGATGAGACTGTGTTGCATTGAATTAAATTAACTGAGTTGAATGGAAATGAACTAAATCAAATTAATAACACCCTTGTCTGGCAGTAACACAGTCTCATCTCCAACAATGTCTCCAGGGTGGGGACCATGTTTCACCCCCTCTGGTCTCCCCCTCCAGATGAGCACAGGGCTGGGAAGTAGGCCAGGACTCGAGGCTGTTTGGCTGACACAGGTTGACCATATTTGTAAAGATTGCCTCTCCTCTGGATCCAAAAACTCCAGAATAGGAATTGTCTACCCATCTCCTTCATCTGTGTTTATGCCGTGATTTTTGGAGGGTGGGGGGCTCCTACCATGGGCCAGAAGCTTTGCTGGGTCTCGGGGATGGTAGGGTAAATTACTTTAAGTGATCTTGTTTATGATTTATTATTATTTACTTTGCTTACCTTGCTGCCCCCAGGGCCTAGCAGAATTTGCCGAGCCCCAAAGCTCGTGATCCGGCAGGCGAGGTGAGCACAAAGAAGCCTCAGAGGTGGGAGTGGAGGCAATGCTGCACAGGAGCTCTGTGGAAGGTGCTTTTGGGGGACACAAGGGGTGTTCTGCCCCAACGGTGGGGTCCAAGAAGGCTTCTTGGATGAGGGGACCCTGGGCAAAAATCACACACAGGATTTGGCAGGATGGGCACAGCAGGGTGGTGGTCCTGGAGGAGACAGAAGCCTGAACCCATGTGTCAGGATGGCACAGCCAGAGGTGGCCAGGGAGGGATAAGTCCAGGAGCCCTTCCTTCCCTCCTTGAGGAGTTCAGGGTTGTCCCCAAAGCAAGTGAGGAAACCTGCAGGATGGCGTGATGGATGGTGCCATGGTTCCCAGGCCTTCCCCACTCCTGGATCCACGCCCTCTGCTGTGTGACTTTGCTGTTCCTCACCTGGACATGCGCACCTCCTTCCCCACAGAGGCTGGGCTCCAGCCAACGGGCCAGGGGCAGCAGTGACGGGAGCAGGTTTGAGTTGTCCTTGCACAGAGCCAACGCTGAGAGCAGTTGCCCAGCAGCTGCCGGCCCCAGGAAGCAGAAAGGCCTCACGCAAACCGAGAGCCTGAACCCAGCCCAGCCCCCTGGAAGCAGACTCATCCCCTCCCGTTGCTTCCCAGGGTCACTTCCCAAATCAGATGCTGTCTCCGTCAGTTCAGACTGCCAAAACACCACCACAGACTGCGCAGTTTAAATAGCAAACGCTTATTTCTCACAGTTCTGGAGGCTGGAAGTCCACGGCCAAGTCACTGGCAGATTCAATGGCTGTTTGCCGGTGGCCATCTTCTTGTGGGGTCCTTGTGCGGCAGAGAGCAGAGAGAGAGCTGGTTCTCTGGGCCTCTTCTTATCAGGGCACTAATTTCATCACGGGGCCGCACCCTCAGGACTCAACTACGTTCCACAGGCCCCCTCTCCAAATGCCATCGCATTGGGAGTTGAGGCTTCAACATATGGATTTGGGGAGGATGCACACATTCCGTCTGTAGCAAGAATTCAGACTCAAACCCTCGCCTCAGGCTCTAATGCACCCAAACCCAGCAGCCACGCACTGCACACCCTGGAGAGCGTGCAGGGGACTCCTGGGTGGGTAAGGACAGGTTTTGGGGCTCAGGAGCTAGTCCCTGGGTTTGTCTCGCCAACCTTCACCCACCCCTTGACCTAGAATGGGCCTCCTGACCCAGAACGTAGGGATCGGGGCCTGGGAAGGTTGAGGGAAGCATTAAATGAGGTGGCCGTTTGTCATCTGTCTGGCACCCCATAGACGCTTAAATGGTGCAACCAGGATGCCACGGCCCTAACCTGCAAACACGTTTCCGCGACTTCAGGCCGGAGGCAGCCCAAACGCTTCCCAGCTCCCCTTCCCTGGGGCCCTGCTGGCAGTCCCTGGAGCCAGCCCCTTGGCTCCTGCCTGGCCCCTCCCGGGCGGCCAGCCTGTCCCAGAGTCCCCACCCAGCCCTGGCGCCGGCAGGCAACAGACGCTTGCTGGTGGGTGGTCGGGAGCGCGTGCCCAGGGAGAGCTGCCTCCACACCATTCACTGATCTAATCAATATCCTGCTCCTCCCGAGACCCCGATCACAGGCCCATCCAAGCAGGGGTCTGGCTGTGACCCCTTCTTCACCCCAAACTTCCCCCATGACCACCACCTCCCCCTTCCCTCTCCCCAGCCCGCCAGGGTGGGCCGCTGGGAGGAAGCCCATCTCTGACGTGGACCCTGCATACAGGGGGTCGTGGGCCTGTCAGATTGGGTCACCCGAATCAAGGGTGATGATAAAACCTGTCCCTCCAAATTAGGCCAGAGCCCCCAGAGCCCCGCTGATTATAGGCTGTGCACCGCGGACAAAGGGTCTCTTGAGGGTCATTCATATGGATTGAGGCCCATTGTTTTCTCAAATTAGGCCACAGGGAGCGCTTCTTGGGGAAGCACATAGCGGGTGGCACGGCTGAGGGTTCCTGGGTTCCCGCCCAGGGTCCTGCGAGGCCAGTCTGGTGGGCCGGCAAGGAAGAGGCCAGACCATTCCCAGGCTGAAGGCTGGGGCTCGGGGGTGAGGCCAGGGCCAGTGGGCTTCCCCAGCTCACCTGCAGAATATTCTGGAGAAATTAAAGGATCCCTCTGAGTGCCTGCTGGGATTGAGTGAGAATTCTTAACTCACACAGAGGGTCTTGCTGTCTGCAAAGTGTTTTAGATTCTCAATGCCTTTCAACCTCCAGCACCCTGGGAATTCCACTCCAATTCTCAGTGTGGGAAACTGAGGCTCCAAAAGGTCCAAAGGCTGTCTAGCTGGTTCACAAGCCTCCATGCGGGCGCCCCTCCTCCAGCTCGCGACATGCCACATCACCGTGGGATTCACTGCCCGCGTTCAAGAACAAGGCTGGCTCAGATACATCGTGTGCACACGTCACCATGACGACAGCCATGGGCTAAGCACATGGAGGCCTTAGATCCTACAGCAGGCTGCCCTTTCCTTTTCTCCTCTGACTTCAAGCCCAGTAGCCTGGGGCTTCGCTGGGTCCTGGACACTTGTTCACGTGCTCACCACACTTTACAGTTTATCATGTAACGTTGCTCCATTACTTCCTGTGAGCTTTGCAACAGATCGTTTTTTCAGGTGAGTTCAATGATGGCACAGTGTCGTCTCTATTCCAGGAGAGGGAAGGCTCCGGGAGCCAAGGGGTCCTCACAGGCTGTCACAACCTGGCTGCCTGTGGTGAAGAGCAGAGGTCAAGGTTGAAGGGATGAAGACCCCGACCGTGCCCTCACCTGGCTGAGGTGTGGTGGGGCAGAAGGTCTCGTAGCCAGCACCCTGTACCCTGCGGGGTGAAACTGGGCTCAGGAAAGGAATGGGCCCCAAGCCACCACAGCCCGAGGTAGGAGGGTTCCTGCCCAGGACTTTTTAAGGGGCAGGATGTGGGAACAGCAGGGCAGCTACGAGATTCGTGGAGCCCTGTGCAAAACGAAAATGCGAGACCCTCCTTCCAGGACGATCAGAGCATCCAACCACGTGCAGGGCCCTTCTGAGCCATGGCCCCTGTGGTGGGGATGGGGCAAGGAATGGTTCGTTCGATACCTGTCTGACAAGCACCTGTCTGCTTCGTGCCAGGCACTGCCCTGGACAAAATGGGTGCGAGTCCTTTCTCCGTGGGTCCAGGAGGGGCTGCTGACAGATGAAAAACAAAATGACTGCAGATCATGCCACTGCTCCATAGAAAACAGACTGGGGGTGAGGTAGGATATTGCTGGGGGGCCCCTTAGTGGATAGGATGATCAGACAAATGGAGGCTCCCAGAGGACAAGGGACAGCCGTGTGGGGCAGTAAGACAGGAGAAGGGAACAGCCCAGTAAGGGAGCGGAGGCTGGAAAGTTGCTGCTTGGTCCTCGTCCTCCGTCCCGCTGGCTCCCTGCACAGGCACCAAGAGGGATCAGAGTCCCCACCCCTGGGTAGGCCCTACACCCCCGCCCCCACCCTCTGCTGAGCCCAAGCCTCTGCAAGTCCCTGGGGACCTGCCTCCCGCACCCTGACCGCCTGCTCCTGTCTTTCCTCACTCATGCCTCTGCTCGGGGCTGGGCTGGCGTCGTCCCTTCCCAGATGGATGTGTTTTAACATTCCACAAAGGAATATGTTTCCAAAAAATAGCAATTAGGCCGGGCAAGGGGGCTCATGCCTGTAATCCCAGCACTCTGGGATGCTGAGGTGAGGATCACCTGGGGTCAGGAGTTTGAAACCAGCCTGGACAACATGATGAAACCCTGTTTCTACCAAAAAATACAAAAATTAGCCGGGTGTGGTGGCGGGCACCTGTAATCTCAGCTACTCAGCAGGCTGAGGCAGGAGAATGGCTTAAACTCAGGAGACGACGCAGGAGAATCACTTGAACCCAGGAGGCGGAGGCTGCAGTGAGCTTGAGACCATGCCGCTGCATTCTAGCCTGGGTGACAAAGCGAGACTCCGTCTCAAAAAAAACAAAACAAAACAAAAAAAAAAACCAACAACAAAAAAATCAGTAATCAGATGGCAAGATATCCTAATACGTTTTCACATGAAAATATAAATTATAAAATAACACTGTGATGTGACTTAGGAAAAACAAGTGTTGGCCGGGTGCGGTGGCTCACGCCTGTAATCCCAGCACTTTGGGAGGCTGAAGCAGGTGCATAACTTGAGGTCAGGAGTTCAAGACCAGCCTGGCCAATGTGATAAAACCCTGTCTCTACTAAAAATACAAAAAATCGACGGGCATAATAGCGGGCACCTGCAATTCCAGCTACTCAGGAGGCTGAGGCAGGAGAATCCCTTGAACCTGGGAGGCGGAAGTTGCAGTGAGCCAAGATCACACCACTGCACTCCAGCCTGGGTGACAAAGTGAGACTCTGTCTCAAAAAAAAAAAAAAAAAAAAAAAGAGAGAGAGAGAGAGAGAAGAGAGAGAGAAAAGAAAAATCAAGTGGGTGGTATATGTGTAGAAGAACATAAAAAAGACCAGAAGGAACCACATCTAAGCGTGAGCATGTGAGCTCTGATGATCTCTGCCGAGGTTGCCTGTGGTGCCCTAACTGTTCTCTGCTTTTCCGATTGCTTTTGCAACCAACATGTATTATTCTTATGAGCAGAAAAATGCCCTGTTGTGCACATTTGGGATAAGAGAAGGGTGCTGCAGATGAGGAGAAGACAAAGGGGTGGAGTGGGCCAGCTTCTCTAGTGTGGCATCTTCTCCTCTCCTCCTTGCCTGGCTGCCCGGACCCTGAGGGTCACAGCCTCCAGCCACTTGGCTTGAACGCACGCAGCCTTACCTTCCCCAGAATGCGTACGCACCCTCCACTTCCCTCAGGACCTGCCACCTCCAAACCTCTACCCCTGCTGGGTCCTCCCCTGGGCCACCCTCTCCTGCCCAGCTCAGCAGGTGCACGTCTTCCTAGCCTGGGGGGCCTGCTCAGAAGGTAGCTCTTTCAGGAAGCCCCTGGCTGGAGAGACCCCACCTTCCCCGGGCTCTCCTGCTGCCTCCTCTGGCCTCTCTGGTGAGCTGCCCACTCTCTTCCTTGAGTCAGAGTTCAAGGTGTGGCTGTCTTGCCTGTGAGGGCAAAGTCTGCACCCGACTCCTCTCGCTGGCTGTCAGCTCCACAAGGTGGGCGGGTGCTCAGTAAACATTACTAAACTCATCAGCCCCCTTCGGGCAAACGGGACAGTGGGGCGAGGCCTGGCGTGGCTGGAAAAGCAGTCTGGATGCCCCAATTGCGGCTGGCTCAATGGCTTTATCTGACAGCCATGGGCACCAAGACAAAGAGGCGTTTCCTGGCTGCCTTGGCCTCCTCTCTCCCAGGGGAAGGCAGGGTGACATGGCAAGCCTGGGCCACACAGCTAACCCAGGCCGGAGCCAGCAGCGGTTCCCAACACTGGCTAGGGCCCTTCCGCAGACCTGACCCTGAACACATCCCAGGACCCCGTCAGCTTCCCAGGGAGAGTTCCCAGGAGTCTGTGCTGGTGTGGACAGGAGCTGGGGGCCCTTGGGTGTGCGGCTGCAGACATCACGGGCACTCAGAACCCTGACCAGAGTCAATGTTGTTGTCCCCTTGGCATGCTGGGAAAAAGTGGCTTAGACAGGGCTGGAGGGTTCTCGACCCTTTGTATCCTCTTCTTTGAGTCTGCGTCTTGGGAAATTGAGAAGTTCTCTGAGAACTTCCCTTCACCTGACAGTCCCACCCTCAGGATGCAGTTGAGGCGCAGTCTGCACCCCTCAACGCTCTTCTCTGTGAAACAGTAAGGAAAGGTATGCAGACATCATCATCCAGACTGAATTCCTCCTCCTTGCTATGAATCGTGGACCAAAGTGTTCAGGTCACCACAGTGATGACTCTGGTGCTGAGCCGGCACTGGGCAGGATCCGAAGCTTGGATGGAATGCCGGCAGGGGCCCTGCTGACCTCATCATGTAGAAGAGTTTTGGAGAGGTCAGGAGTTGCCAAGGGCCTGCAGACAATGCAGTGTGAGGAGGAGAGTGTGAGGTAGCACAGGCCTCTCTGATTCCGAGGTTCCCTTGAACCCTCAGGATTCCCAAGGAACCCTCAGGTCGCCCCAGTGCCACCCAGTCCAGGGACAGAGCCATGCCTGAGTGCACAGCTCGCTAGCAACTGTGTGCCAGGTGCCAGGCACCTACAAGTGTGCTGGGCATTGGGCTGAGGTGGGGCTGTGCTGGCAATGCTATAGACAGCATGTTCACACCAAGCACGGCTGCAAGCCCAGGACCAGCTTCCCTCCTTCCCTCAGAGCAGCCACTGGGGCAGCCAGTGTTACTAGCGTTTCCCATTTGACAGATGAGGAGGTGCCAGGAGGCTGTGCCACTCAACTGACCTGGAGGTCCACACATCAGAGTCCACACTCTGCCACCATTTGAATGGGGCTTGTGATGGCTGCCCCCACTCAATTCAGGGGTCCCCACCAGAAGCTCTCAGGCCACACCCTGGGACCTCAGATACACTCTGGGCAAGTGGCAGGGGCCCTGAAAGGTCCAGAGTCCAGCCAACTTCAGGTCTCCCAGGCAAAAGGAGCCAGACCTCCCACACACCCCCTCGAACCCAGCAGTCACTCCAAGAGGGCTTCTCTGACAATCCAGGCTGATGCAGCTCACTGTGGCAAAAGACCTTCCCTGAACCAGGTCCTCACATAGAGGCCCATGCAGCTCTCTGGCAATGCTGAGGCTGTGGGCAGCCATAGACACTGGAGCTCCCGCCCTGTGACAAGTGCCACCCCATGCGGAGGAGCCAAGCCCAATGAACACCCCAAGGCAAGAGGGAAGAGCTCTGTGGGGCAGAGGGCAGCCTGAGCATCTGCAAACAGAGTGGCTCACAGAGAGGCCCTGGGGACACCTGCAGGAGATCTCTACAGAGAAAGGGCTACACCAGGCTCCATCCAGCAAGTAAGGTCTCTGCCAGCTTTGAGACTGTAAGCCCTTTAGATAGGGAGGGAGGGAGGTGGGTGAATGGATGGAGGGATGGATGGATGGTAGATGGATGGATGGATGGATGGATGATTGAATGAGTGGTTGGATGGATGATTGAGTAGGTGGATGGTTGGATGAGTGGATGGGTGGATGAGTAGATGGATGGATGGATGGATGGATGGATGGATGGATGGATGGATGGATGAGTGGTGTATTAGTCTATTCTCATGCTGCTAACAAAGACATACTTGAGACTGGGTAATTTATAAAGGAAAGAGGTTTAATGGACTTGCAGTTCCACATGGCTGGGGAGGCCTCACAATCACGGCAGAAGGCAAAAGAGAAGCAAAGGCACATCTTGCATGGCGGCAGGCAAGACAGCGTGTGTAGGGGAACTCCAATTTATAAAACCAGCAGATCTTGTGAGACTCATTCACTACCATGAGAACAGTATGGGGTAAACCGCCCCCATGATTCAATTATCTCCACCTGGCCCTGCCTTGGACACTTGGGGATTATTACAATTCAAGGTGAGATGTGAGTGGGGACACAACGAACTATATCAAGTAGATGGATGGATGAATGGATGGATGGATGAGTGGATGGATGGATGGATGGATGGATGGATGATGAGTGGATAGATGGATGAGTGGATGGATGGATGAGTGGATGGATGAATGGATGGATGGATGAATGGATGGATGGATGAGTGGATGGATGGATGAGTGGATGGATGAATGGATGGATGGATGGATGGATGGATGCATGGATAGATGGATGAGTGGATGAATGGATGGATGGATGGATGGATGATGAGTGGATGGATGGATGAGTGGATGGATGGACGAGTGGATGGATGAATGGATGGAGGATGAGTGGATGGATGGACGAGTGGATGGATGAATGGATGGATGGATGGATGCATGGATAGATGGATGAGTGGATGAATGGATGAGTGGATAAATGGATGAGTGGATGGATGGATGGATGGATGGATGATGAATGGATGGATGGACGAGTGGATGGATGAATGGATGGATGGATGGATGGATGATGAATGGATGGATGGACGAGTGGATGAATTAATGGATGGATGGATGAGTGGATGGATGGATGAGTGGATGGATGGATGGATGGATGGATGATGAATGGATGGATGGATGAGTGGATGGATGAATGGATGGATGGATGGATGATGAATGGATGGATGGATGGATGGATGAATGGATGGATGGATAGATGGATGAGTGGATGGATGAATGGATGGATGGATGAGTGGATGGATGGATGAGTGG